TTTACTAATCACATGCAGCGTAGTCGTTTGTAGGTTTATGGCAACCAAGACAGGCTGATGTCAAAGGAGAATTTAACCTGGAAGCAAATTCCTGACTTACAAGTTGGAGTATGTAGTCATTCATGTCTGTTGACATTTAAGTGAAGACCACCTAGGTGTAGTCGTTATGAAAGCATTAGAGGAGTCTTGGAAATCCGTGTTAAAGTCCTGGCTGTGAGGTTCACTGTATGATTCTGGGCAAAGCAGTCACCAGCGTCTCTGCACTGATGTCTGTCATCTGGCCCCTTTGCTGATAAAAATCCTCCCTGCCCTCTCTCCCAAGCTCCCTTGACCACACGTGCTCCCCACCTTCGTTCCTCACTTGGGGCAGGTCACCATCCATGGGCATTTCCGTGGTCATGCCTCTGTCCCCATCCAGCTCTACCCCTCAGAGCCATCTCTTGGCATCTGTGCCTCACACTCCTATGACCCAAATTCTGTGACCTCAGACAGGCCCGTCTGTGTCCTTCAGTGCCTTCTAGAAAACACCGACGGCCCCCAATCAGCACCCCAAAACTAACCTCTCCCCTGACCTCGAGCAGTGGTGTGCACTGCCTGGCCTACATCCCCATGTGGTGACTGTGTAGGTGACTTTAGTTTAGCGACTCCTCCCCACACTGTAGATAATCCCTTCTCCCTGCAGCTCAGGCCTGATGTCCAGACCGCTCTCCGTTCCTCTCCAGGCCCTCGCCTCAAGTCTTGTCCACCCCGTCCACCCCCTGCCTGCCCCTTTCCTCTTCCATCCTCGCCTGGTCCCTGCTGTCTCTCCCTGCCCAACTGCATCCTTTTTCCAGCCTTTCTTCCCTCAGGTCTGCTTTGCACAGTGCGCCGGTGCTTTGTACCATGCAGATCAGCTCGTGTTCCTCCCCTGCTGAAAATCCCCTTCACACCCACCCAGAGATCTGCATCCTCCGGCCCTTGTCCCCTGGGCCAGCTTACCGCACGCCTCCCTCAGCCTAGCTTCTAGGGCCCAGCCCTGTTGGCTGTCTCCTGTTTCTCACTGTGCCACACTCGTCCCTGCTCAAGGACTGTGCACTTGTCCCTGCTGGGAATGTTTCCTCCACTCGCGTGCTTGCCACCTGCCCTCTTTCCATCGGAGGCCCTCTGTCTTCATTTATGTGGCAATTCCAGGCCTTCGGAATCCCTCAAACTGTGGCTGCCTGTTTCTTTTCTGTCCATGCTCCAGCCTGAGCCGGCAGAGACCTGGACTTTCTGGTTTCTCTCCATGTCCCCAGGGGCTCGTATGGTACCTGGTGTGTTCGTGACTCGATAGCAACTCATCGCATGCATGAATGAATGTGCTTTCCGAGTCTGTCTCTTCATCTATAAAATGAAAACGGTGGGCTTCTGTGGCAGGTGGGAACCCCGAGGCAGGGTGTGCCCTTGGCCAGGCACAGGGTGGCCTCAGAAATGCTCCTTGTGGGGGGAAGGCACATTTGTTAAGCGAAGTGCCTCCCAAAATTCAGGCCCAGAGAAAAACTGGCAGTGAAATGGTGCTCTCGATGCCTTGGTCCTCAAAAGAAAAACGAAAATTGCTTCTGTGTGATTATTTCACTGACTTATTTGAAAGGATGACGCCTTGTTGAGTAAGTCCCACCTGTAGAAGGAACTCGCAGCCAGCAGCCGTGCAAGGCAACAGTCAAGCTCTGCTCCTCCACTGGCTCACGGGTCTCCCTCCCTCCCTTCTGAAGCTGCAAGCTTTCGCAGTTTTCCACTCACCCCTTTTGGGCCTCTGTCTCCTCTGCAAAATGGGCCTCCTGTTATCCCTGGAAGGGACCAGGACGGTTGAATCAGAAGGAACAGGTAGATCCATTTTCTGAATTGCAGAACATACACATGCACACATGCACGCGCATGCTTACACAATGCATGCATGCACACACACACGTGCACACATGTGTTGGGGTATGATTGTCATGAAGCCGAGTGAACCCTTCTCCATTTAACTTCACAGTGGGTGGCTGCATCCTGATCTCTCTGTGAAGGCTGGCAGACATCACAGGGATGGTCCCATGCTGGCAGGTGGGTTAATATGGACTCAATCAGAGTAGTCCCCGTGTGAGGCAGTGGAGGATTTTTCTAGAATCCTCTGTGTATTCCACCTGGGTAAGTGTGCACAGCAGTGCCTGGCAAAGGTTTATTTTTAGCCATTTATAGGAAGTAAACATCCTTTATGATAGGGAATTTCAGGGATAGTTCTTGCTGAGAAATAAGGAACATTTAAAAGAAATAGCAAAAGTCGGGAGAGGGGGTGTCCGCAGCCCCCTCCCTGAGCAGGATTCTTGGATTTCTGTGGATTGTCAGCACACGGAGGTTCTTCCAGGCTGCTGGGCTGGGTGCAGGCAGAGCCCGAGGCAGATGAAGCACAGGGTGAGACGCATAGGGCCAGCCTTCACGTCCCAGCTGACCCCCACCCCGGGGGACCCTCCCCCTTCTGCCCTCTTCTGTCCTACCTGCCCCAGCCACGCCCCAAGTGAGAGCCTGCGGAGATTCCTCCGTTCTCCGAGCCTCGGGAAACCTGCTACCTGTGGTTGACATCCACCATCAACGTTTGGAGCCGTTGAAGGCAGGTCGTCTGCCTCAGCACTATGGACGTTTGGGGCTGTCTTGGGAAATGTGACATGCTTCACAGCATCCCAGCCTTAACCCATTAAGTGCCAAGTAGCACTCATAGTTGCGGCAGCCAGAAATGTCTAGACATTGACCGACGTCCCCCAGGGGGCAAAATAACCCTCGGTTGAGAACTGGAGCCCCGGGGGTGGGGAAACCCTTGTGGTTTTGCCCCCCATTGGAGTCGGGGTGCAGAGGCGCTTCATCACCCTGTAGGGGTGGGGTGGGGTGGGTTCAATCTTCCTGCTCTTTCCAACCCCCTGGCCAGTCTGACCTTCCTGCGGGTCGGGGTGGGGGACTCGCAGCACCATCTACGGTCTAATCCAGGTCACTTCCTCACGCCCCATGCTGTGCAGTGAGTTCCACAGCATCCCCGGGCGGAGCCCTCTGTACAGAGGTGGCCTCACATGGGACCTGAAGCAGTGTGCACCCCAGCAGGCATGCAGGTGACTTTTTACATAGACGGCAACCAAAGCCAGCCCTGTGTGCACCCAAGGCTCCAGGAGGCCGACAGCTGGAGAACGCAGAGGCCGGGTGGTCGTTTTTCCATGGCTCAAACCCGCCCCTGCCCTGTCTCATGTATTGTAAGTGGCCACGCAATCTTGGATGCCTCCCCCAAACTGGAGCTAGTAGAACGGGGTCCTTCTGCCTCGGGCTCTATTTCTCCATTCCCAGGTGGTTTTCTCGTTCATGTCACCACCATCATGAGTGGCAGCCCTGGTGGGCCCCTCGCCCAGGTCACGGGCTCAGGGTGGCCCCTGCTTTGTCCCAGGGCTCTGTGTGCTCTTGTGACGTGCAGATGTCTGCCAGCGTGGTCCGCTCTCTCTCTGTCTTCTTCAGTAGATAACACCTCTGTTAAGATATAATTCACACACCACACAGTTCACACATCTAAAGTGCACAATTGAACAATGTTTGGTCTATTCATAGAGTCGTGCATCTCCATCATAGAACGTTTTCAACCCAGTACCCGGTAGCAGTCGCCCCCGGTTTCCCTTCGGCCCTCCCAGCCCTAGGCACCCGCTGATCTCCTTTCTGTCTCTCTGGATTTTTGGCGTTCTCCCAGGTTCTATAGCCCGTGTGCTGCGCACTCGCCATGGCCCCTTGCCGTTCCCCGGTGCAGTGTTCCCCTTCTGGTCGGGGGTGTGGTGGGGTCTTTGGCCTCTCGCTGGGTGGGAATTCGTGGCTGGCTATTTTATGTATTCCCTCATTTCGTAGTTATTAACTGGGGGTCAAGTCTGGGTGATCGTACTGTTGTCAGTACTCTAGACTGTAGGTAGAGACGACGTGCCCAACGTGTGCCCAGTGCAGGTTTGGCTGCGACTTGCATTAGGGCCACGAGTGCAGAGCTCTTGCAGAAAGTGTGCCTGCCCTTCCGCGTGACCACGAACACCAGCCTGTACTCGATCATTTAAGTGCTATTCCAAACATTGCTTACTGTGCCAAATAGTCAGCTGCACTTATTAGGCAAAATATCGTACAGTTTTACCATCCGCCTTTGCATCCGTAGCTCTTTTCACCTGCTCTGCCCTGGGAGCTTCCAGAGGATTGGTGTGTTCTCTGTCAGCCCCATGGGCAAACAGTAGGTGCTCAAAAGTGGGGAGAGATGGGGGGGGGTTGTTGAAAAAATACATAAGAAGTGAATATTGCCTACTTTGTACAAATATTTTAAAATATGTATATAAAAGGTTCTTGCTGTTCTCTCCCCAATCCTTTTCCCTTCCTATGAAACTAAATGCTATTAACTGGAGCACGTCCTTCCGGACATAATCCTGGTTTTCTACAACATAGACTTTAAGCTTTTACAATGTAAATGAAATTAAGCTGTATTATTGTTCTGAGACCTGCCTTTTACTTAGAAGTTCTTGGATATGTTTCTTGTCAGTTTGTATCCATCTGCCTTGTTTTGTCCTACATTGCCTAGATGAAGAATGTTCTAGAATATATCTCCACTTCCCGTTATTTTAGAACATTTATGCTGCCTCCATATTTTCTTTTCCTTCATTTTTTCTTTTTATATTTTTGCTTGTGGTATTTCACTTGTTATATATTCTATACACGTACAAGACTTTCTGTAGAATAATATCTTAAAACGCGGAATCATTTGGTCATGGACTGTATATATTTTAATTTTTTTTAGATTCTGCTGCACTGCCATCCAAAGCATTTGCGGCAGCTAAGCCTCGAGTGACAGCACACGGGAGCCCGTGTACTCTAGTCCCTGCATCTCGATGGACGAAATGTGCCCTCCTATTAAATCACTGTGCATTCACGTTCCTAAGATTCCTTGTGGGCTTGAGCCTGCAGACGGATTTCTCTGGAGAACGTCTATGCCACCGTTTTACAAACAGATGTCTTCTTTTCAACTTGCAGGACAGCTGTGCCAGAGTGCTGCTGTTTCGAGGCGGAAATAAGGAATTAAAAAATTACAACAGCCAGACTCCATTTCAGGTAAAGAGAGTTCTCGAAAGCAAGGAATGCCTGGGTGTGAATTGTCCTGGGAGACAACTTTGCATTTCTGCGCATGGTACTATGTGTAAGACGTGATGTCGGCTCGCTCCTTGCGGGTGTTTCTGTGTTGGGGGCTGTACCTGCTCTTGGTGTTGATGCAGCTGACATTGTTTGGTCTGCCTGTTCGGCACTACTTACTTCCTATTAGATTAAACAGAATGAATAATGCAGTGATTCATCTATGTGGTTTTCAAGGAAGCAGCTTTGGAAAGACAATAAAGACCTGGATGCTTTTAATTGAGCGGCTGGTAGAAAACGCTGGCTGTGCCGTCCATCCCTGGAGTGGGGCAAGCTCCATGTGAGTCTCATGGGGAGGGGACTTGTCACCCGCCGGCTCCCCTGCGGGGTCTGCTGTCCCGGAATGGAGGGAGAAAAACCCCAAGCTGGCGTTGGCCAGGGTCTTCCATGGTGGTATACACAAACCCAGGTTCTAATTATTTTTTCAAATGTGGTAAAATATAATACACAATTTATCCTTTTAAGCATTTTAAAGTGTACAGTTCAGTGGCACGAGGTACATTCACGATGTTGTGCAACCGTCACCACTGTCTAGTTAAGAACTCTTTTATCACCCCAAAAGGAAACCCTTAGCCGATTACCAGCCACTCCCCACTTTCCTTCCACAGCCCCTAGGGTCACTCTCTGTCTATGGACGTGGTGCCTATTCTGGACGAGTCATATAAATGGAATCATGCAATATGTGACTTTTCATGTCTGGGTTCTTTCACTCAATATAATGTTTTCAAGCATCATCCATGTTGTAGCATGTGTCAGTGCTTCAGTCCTTTTTATGGCTGAGTAATATTCCCTTGTGTGGATATGGGGCTCATCTAATATTGATGCAATTGACCAGAGAGCTGATAGTTTAGGGTGGAAAAAAAAGTGTGTATATATTTGTGGGGTATTTTTTAAAGCTAAATGCGCTAAGTTATAACATTGCTTTTTGATACTGTACATAGTCAGATATATCCCCTTGAACTGACTTGACTGGGTGATATATAAAGAACAGAGATCCATTTCTCACAGTTCTGGAGACTGGGAAGTCCAAGGTTGAGGGGCTCATATCTGGCAAGGGCCTTCCTGCTGTTTCGTCCCAGAACAGAAGGCAGAAGGACAAGAGAACTCAGGAGAGACAGCGAGGAAGGGGGCCGAACCCATCCTTTTATCAGGAACCCACTGCTGCCGTAACTAAACCTCTCCAGCAAGGACAGCAGTAATCCACTCATGGGGCAGAGCCCTTGGGACCTCATCTCCTCTTAAAGGTCCCACATCTCAACACTGTTGCACTGGGGATTAAGTTCCTAGCATGCTTTGGGGGGACAAATTTAAACCATATAACAGCATGATTCTCCTCATTTGGGAATAATTTTTATATAGTGTTAAGCTGAGAGAGGTCTTTAACTTAGAACTGACTTCCATGAATGATTTTACTAATGCTCTTCTTAGACATTACCAATATGTATAGACTTGATGTCTTAAAAATAAATGAGATCAATCCAACAACTGGGCTCAGATGTTTAATAACCACCATTAAAGAGTTTACTTAATTCTTTAAGCATGGTGGGCCTGGATTTTTGTCTCTGATCTTGCTGTTTGCAAATGTTTAATATAAAAGGGATTATAGAAATAGGTTCCTGGTTTGTTAATGGGTCTTTAAAGATTACAGTTACTGTCTAGGAAAATGTCCTCTTTCCAGTGGTGGGTTCTTCCTGGTGTGACCACACCTGCCTCTATGGGGTTAGCTGTGCAGTAGTGGGCGTGGTTTAAAGTTTTTGGTTTGGTTTTTGTGTTTTTGTTTTTTGCAGTTAAATAATATATTTCTTTTGTCCTTAAAAAAAAAAAAGTCAAAAAGTTGCTTAAATTGCTTGGAAATAGTAGTTAATCCAGTTTTGGTCATGGCAAGCACTTGCATTACACAAATGAGCCATTTCTGACTCTCCTGGGCAGTGGCTTATAACTGCCCTGTGGAGCTCCAGGGAAGCAAGTCTTCCATGGCATCTAGGCCCATGTGGGTGGCCTGCCTCCTCCAGTCAGTCTCCACTACTTCCCATCGCCACAGGCAGTGACCACCTGGAATCAGGACACCCTTCCTATGTGAGTCCTGGCAGGATACTTAGTACACCTTCACGGCAGCAAAACCACGCCAGTGCGTACCCAATGCCATCTGCCTCTATTTTGCTAATGACAGTCCATCAAGTGCCATAAAAGGTTTTGGAAGAGATGCAAAAATGCCATTGAACTGATCGGACTTTGTCCCCTGCAAATGGTGGTCCTGTAACCAGTGCAATCAGAGCCTGGCTGGTCTGCACGTCCAGAATGGGCTCTGACTGAATATCAGGAGCTGGTCCCCTTCACAGCTTCCTGCCTCATGTCTAAATAACACGCAGAGAGTGGGTTCACTCTACAGATCCTTGCCTGTAAAAGGTCTCCAGCTATCGTTTTCACTCAGTTCTTCCCCTCCCAATATGAAAAAGGAATCATTTAATACTGAGTTTGTGGGAAAATGATGTCTTGCTGCATCATTTTAAAGGCACCAAATACTTGCCCCTGGAGGACGTTGATGATAGTCAGCTGCTGTTGGTGACGCAGGCTTTTCTATGAAATCTTGGGCTCTTTGGCAGAGTTCATCTGGCCAAGCCTCTGCTTAGTGATTTAATTCAAATGCTGGACCAGCAGCATCAGCGAGACCTAGGGGACTGAGAGATGCAGACTCTCAGGCTTCACTCCCAGGCCCAGTGAGTCAGAAGCTCTGGGGGCAGGGCCTGTACTCTGTGTTCTAATACGGTCTCCAGGGACTCTGACGCCTGCTTAGGTTTGAGAATCAGAAGATAGACAGGAGTGATTTATTTAAGGAGGAGGAAGGGGAGGAGAAGAAGCACTTAAAACATCACTAGGGTGTATCTTGAACAATAAAGATGACGACGGTGATGACAGTGATTGTAATGGTGATGGTGACGGTGATGACGATGGTGATGGTGATGATGATGATGGTGATGGTGATGATGATGATGATGGTGGTGATGGTGGTGATGGTGATGGTGATGATGGTGATGACGGTGATGGTGATGATGATGGTGATGATAATGATGATGGTGATGATGATGGTGACGGTGATGATGATGACGGTGATGATGGTGATGATGGTGGTGATGGTGGTGATGATGGTGATGATGGTGATGATGATGGTGGTGATGATGGTGATGATGGTGATGGTGATGGTGATGACAGTGATGATGATTATGATGGTGGTGATGATGGTGATGATGGTGATGGTGATGGTGATGACAGTGATGATGATTATGATGGTGGTGATGATGGTGATGATGGTGGTGATGATGGTGATGATGATGGTGGTGATTANAGATGCAAAAATGCCATTGAACTGATCGGACTTTGTCCCCTGCAAATGTTGGTCCTGTAACCAGTGCAATCAGAGCCTGGCTGGTCTGCACGTCCAGAATGGGCTCTGACTGAATATCAGGAGCTGGTCCCCTTCACAGCTTCCTGCCTCATGTCTAAATAACACGCAGAGAGTGGGTTCACTCTACAGATCCTTGCCTGTAAAAGGTCTCCAGCTATCGTTTTCACTCAGTTCTTCCCCTCCCAATATGAAAAAGGAATCATTTAATACTGAGTTTGTGGGAAAATGATGTCTTGCTGCATCATTTTAAAGGCACCAAATACTTGCCCCTGGAGGACGTTGATGATAGTCAGCTGCTGTTGGTGACGCAGGCTTTTCTATGAAATCTTGGGCTCTTTGGCAGAGTTCATCTGGCCAAGCCTCTGCTTAGTGATTTAATTCAAATGCTGGACCAGCAGCATCAGCGAGACCTAGGGGACTGAGAGATGCAGACTCTCAGGCTTCACTCCCAGGCCCAGTGAGTCAGAAGCTCTGGGGGCAGGGCCTGTACTCTGTGTTCTAATACGGTCTCCAGGGACTCTGACGCCTGCTTAGGTTTGAGAATCAGAAGATAGACAGGAGTGATTTATTTAAGGAGGAGGAAGGGGAGGAGAAGAAGCACTTAAAACATCACTAGGGTGTATCTTGAACAATAAAGATGACGACGGTGATGACAGTGATTGTAATGGTGATGGTGACGGTGATGACGATGGTGATGGTGATGATGATGATGGTGATGGTGATGATGATGATGATGGTGGTGATGGTGGTGATGGTGATGGTGATGATGGTGATGACGGTGATGGTGATGATGATGGTGATGATAATGATGATGGTGATGATGATGGTGACGGTGATGATGATGACGGTGATGATGGTGATGATGGTGGTGATGGTGGTGATGATGGTGATGATGGTGATGATGATGGTGGTGATGATGGTGATGATGGTGATGGTGATGGTGATGACAGTGATGATGATTATGATGGTGGTGATGATGGTGATGATGGTGGTGATGATGGTGATGATGATGGTGGTGATTATGGTGATGGTGATGACAGTGATGATGATGATGATGATGGTGATGATGATGATGATGGTGATGATGGTGATGATGATGATGGTGGTGGTGATGATGGTGATGATGGTGGTGATGATGGTGATGGTGATGACAGTGATGATGGTGATGATGATGATGGTGATGGTGATGATGGTGATGATGGTGATGATGGTGATGATGATGATGATGGTGATGATGAGGATGGTGATGATGGTGATGATGATGGTGGTGATGATGGTGATGATGACAGTGACGGTGATGATGGTGATGACGGTGATGATGGTGATGGTTGTGATGATGATGATGATGGTGATAGTGATGATGATGGTGATGCTGGCGATGATGGTGATTAGGGTATTGATAACAATAGTGGTGATGATAATGATGAATCTTTCCACTTGCACAGAGTTTTAAAACTCACGAATGCTCTTCTATATGTTCTCATTTAATGTTCAACAATCCAATGAGGTAGGCTTTTTT